ACTAAGATGTCTCAATGAGAAAAGGTCAGGAAAAAAATTTTTTCCTGTTGAATGACTTTGTGTGTTTGACCTGGCAGTTTTATTGTTTTTCAGTCAGTTCCACAGGTTCTCCCACCTGACGTGCTATTTCACTTACATGTGGCAAAGAGAAAAGTATACAGTTGAGAATTTTTATTTTGACTGTAAAAGTAATCAAAGACGTGCCAGAGCAGGCAGATCAAAATAGTTTAATTTAAAAAAATGTACCGTATTTTCAATATTTAAATATTTTTGAAATATAAAGTAAAATTTACAACAGGTTTATACTTACTGTCCACTACTCAGCTTGTCTCTAATGTAACAACACTAAGATGTCTCAATGAGAAAAGGTCAGTAAAGTAAAATTTACAAAAGGTTTATACTTACTGTCCACTACTCAGCTTGTCTCTAATGGTAGAAAAGTCCATAGGTTTTTTAATAACTTTCTTATAACCAGGAACAAGTTTCAAGTTTACAGGAAGTAAGAAAGGCCAAGCATCTTCATGAGTTTCCAATTCTGAGAGAATCATGCTGAATAAAACAAGGGTTTAAGTCAGTATTTTTAAGTTGTTCATATATTTACAGAGATTTTACATTATTCCATAAATTCATCATGTACCGCCAACTTACTCATTTTATAAAAGGAAAGCACTTTATTCTGTGCCCTGTGCAAGGCTCAGAACAATGCTGATAAAGACAGACACCTTAACTGAGTATTTAAGATAGCATTAAGTCCTCTCCAGGTGACCTATGTAAGATAAAATTCTAGTGATCAACATTCTAAAAGAAAAACACAGCCTTGCAACTTCAAGTACTTTGAACCTCAATACCTCAATGTAAACCATCTGCAGACCCGTAAAACGGGTGCTAATACTGGCTTTCCAAAACTGTGACGAGCCTAAACTATGTCACTTTTGACTGACCAGCAATACTACAAAAGAAGATGCATTCCTATTACTGTCTGTAATGCAACGCCTTTCGGACATAGCAGATAATCATCTTTGCTACACGAGAAAGCTGTCAGTACCACTGCTACCAGGGCTCCTTCTTCCCATTCTTGGGAGGGCATGGAGCAGATGATGTCACAGACCACATTCTAACATCAGGTACTTTCCTCTTGGGCTTCAGTACCAAATCCAGCAGTTACTCCCAGCATGCACACATTAAACCCTTTATACATACACTCAAATTATCAAAATCTGTACGGGATACATGAAAAAGAATAGGGTCCTTGTTCCCCAGAACACAGATAAAAAGAATCAGGCACTGACAACACTTACCAAGTTTAGAATTTGTCACTTTACCTGCATATAGCCAGGTCCTTGGAGTCATCTCTTTTCGGTTTCTTAATAGCAGTGAAATTTTCTTGCTTTAATTGGCTTATAGAAACATTTTCATCTATTTTTCTTTTTTTAGGGTCCGTTTTTCCTCTTTTTAAGGAGGTGCTTGTAGTTGCAGAGTCTTCATCTTCTGTATCTCCTGCTAATTTCCTGCTTCTCTTTTGTTCATTACTTTTTTTCCCTTTGATTTGAAGTTTTTTTATTTTTAGAGTTTGACCACTTGCCTACAACAGAGAGAACTGAAATAAGCAATAACCAAAAAATTACAGAAACCTCTGTTATTATTGATAGACAGCAATGAAGACCAGACAAACAGAAGCACCAAAACAATTGAAATATTTGGTATCAGAGATTATCCACTTTTTGCTCTTCTCTAAAGGCATGTGAGGCTGTCGAAATTCCTGTTACTAGTGATCTAGGTTCTCAACTTGTGACAATATAAAAGCACCCAACCTTCAGATTGGTAAAACAGTACCTCCTAACAAACCAGGCTGGCACAGTTTTAGACAAATGTTTGTCTATTCTTAAAAGACTGATGCGATAAAACACAGCTGGAATCGTATATTCATTTTCAAACAACCATATTATTTGCAAGACATGAAAAACTCGAAAAGAGGTTTTAAAAAGCCAGGGTTGGGATCAACTGATTTAGAGAGAGAGATGAAAGATATAGATAGCTTGGCGACAGAACAACTACAGGCGAACTTAAAAAGGAGCATGACAATACAAGAACGCTACAAACAAAGTGGGGAAAAAAGGAACATTATTTAATCCAGAACTATTTATAGACAGTAAAATGAAACTAAGAGGTACATTTAAGATGAAAAAAGTAAGTTATTATGGGTATTGACAGCATCATAACGTGGCACAGTATTTGAAGGAATCATTAGAACAGGAACTTTGCAGAATGTCAAGTCAGGCACATGATGCCATTGAAAACACTCACTGACAGTCAAAGAATGAAAAGGTAGAAAACAATTTTCATGAAGAAAGAGAGTCTGCATCAAAAGTATGAAACTCTGCCTGTGCTACTGAGAGTACTTTAGATAGTTTGAACAATTTTTAAACCGTGACATTTATATTTTATATTCTCCTATCAAAATACTATTTGGTTGTAAAGCTGTCTAAACCTGTATTTTTATAATATACTTTTTCAGAGTTAAGAATATGCAGATTTTGCTACTTACTAGAAACCATTACTACACAATTCCTTTATTTCACGGATGTCATAAATAACATTCTTAAGCATTTGGCACTGATTGTTAACCATCATGGTTAAATAAAACTATTCATCTCATTATTTAATGGCAGCGCACCATAAAACATACAGACCATTATTTTCATTGAAACAAGCACCAGTAGACCCGTAGCTCTACCATCTATAAAAAGGTCATTATAAGTCACTTCACCTTTATGGTTAGTATTACCTTTGCTATGCAGGCAGGACAAAACCAGTCACCATCTGGTATGGTAGTGATCTTGGGTCTGTGGCAGTAGGTATGACAGCCTTTATCGCAACCATCACAAAGGAGCAGCAGTTCCTCATTATCTCCCTTTCGACAAATTTGGCAATACTATAATACATGAAAAATGGCTTTAATTCAATTTTAAAAATTTGAAACACAGGAATGGTACCTAAATTACCCTGCTCTCCAAACATACAAATTGACTCTCAAAATTATTTTCCTTTCATTTTACCACAATCAGAGTCTACTAATGATCACATTTCTAAAAGAATATATGCAGTACATGAGGAATCAATCTAAAGGCTACACTTGGAAACACATTTGAAAAGCAATTCATTAGAAGACAGGTGTCCTACAGCACACAAAGCTATGAATACTTTTTATATTTCATTAATGTGCATGAGAAGTAAAGGTATCTTACGCCCATCAAAATCGCTTGGCCCACACATACTATCTCAGGAGTCTTCTCTTCATTTATGCCCATACTGCATATATAAGTTGCTATTTCATAAAAACAATTTATATTTTATGACAATATTTTCAAATAATAATCAGTAAGCATCTTATCCAAAGGCCACCATGAACAAAGTTGGTAAAGCAAAACAAATGACCCTAGCACTTCCTAAAATTCACACTAACTTAAAAATATCTAACGTATTGTCCATTTTCTTTCTTACTTTGTGTGATTTTGATACTCTTCTATATCTGGACTTCTTTTTCAGGAACTTAAAGACCTCCACATGTTTTCACCAAATACTTACCTTTACTGTGCAATTAAATGCATAGAACATTTCAATCAAACTGAGAATGATACTATACATTTTTTCTGGATAACAAGTTACTACACCAAGTTACTACACAAGTAACCTACCCGTCACCATCACCACTAATGCTTGAAACATTCAAACGCCTTTTCAGGTGCTCCTACTACATTCATGAACTTTTTGCTCTAAAGATACAGCTTTAAACTTCTAGCTGCATAAACTCAAAGGTACAGCCTTACACTATAGTTTTTATTTAAATCATCCTTTAATTGTCCAGATGTAATTAGAATCTGTATAGGACTGACAGAAACTAAAAAATTAGGGAAAAGACCACTAATGGAAGAATCACTTTTGCCACCCACTACATAGCACTGAATTTGAGGTTCAAAGGTGCATGCAAATTTTGACACATGCATTTTGCATGCTTTCTTTTGTATATGCAGTTAACATAGATCTACTTGTTAAGTGTACAAGGAAACAGGTATTTCAGCCTATTTGCTCACACACTTGCCCAATTTGTATGTTCAGTTATAAGAAGTGTGCATGCAAAGAAGCCACACATTTGGAGCATCTCAACTTTCTGAAAAATGAAGTCCTGATGTTGAACCTCCATAAAGCTTATGTCACGGATGAGATCAGAAATATTCCATCAGATAAAGTATCTTCCATCAAACGGAGCCAGAAATGACTCTTTTTTTACCCAAATGCTAACAACAAAGAGTAATTACCATCTTAAAAAAAGCAACCACTTACAGGGGCTTTTTAGCTTAGAAAGTTCAGGATGCTGAACTTGGCAAGCAAGGGACAATTTTTTCCATTAGGCTTATAACTTATCTGTGCATAATGTACAGTTTAACTGTATTAAGTTTTACACGCAGTAATAAGAAATGCATTGTTTTAACCATGGTATCTTAAAATGCCTAAAGTGGGAAGGATAGGATATAGCAAATAGTGACAGTATTTTTTTCAAAAAATTAAAAACACTTACAACTTTCATAATAGATTTTTCCCATGCTATTGATTTCTGTAACTGCTGAATGCACAGAGCTACCTGTGCAGCACTGCGCGCTTCTGACAATGCCCTTCTCCATACCCTTAGCCCTGGAGCAATATCCTCTTCAGTTCTGCATTGAAATACAGAGAAATTAAGTAGGTCACATCCGTGTTTGCTTATGTTTAAACGTGGAACAATCATTATCACATTGAAAGCCAAGCAATGACAAAACGTACACAGCCAATAAGTATAAGGTTTAAGCAACTAAATTTCATGTAGTGCACAGACTGTGGCTACGTGCCTCAAAGCTTAGTCACAACCAGTTAAGTGTAAGATAACTTTGCAAGATTATCAACAAACGTAACAAAAAATATCTTTACAAAGCACCATGCAGAATAACATGATCCATATGGATCACAGACATACAAGAAAGTACATAGATAACAGGCAATAAGAAAATAGGCTCCAATTAGCAAAGAAGCACAATAATTTTTCAAGTTAATCTCAATAACCTACCCGTCACCATCACCACTAATGGATGGTGCAGGAGCAGGGACAGTAACTGTGCCCACATTATCCAGTTTGATCTGAATGGTGGTACTTAAGGGGCTCTTCAGATACCTTCGCTCTATGTTCCGCTCCAAGTCAGCAAGCCTGGTTACAGCTATATCTAGAGGGTTGTCATTCTTCCGCTCTAGAGAGCTGGTATTGCCTTCTCCGCCTCCAGCACAATCTCCATCGTGCTTCTTGTGCAATCTAGTAATTGACTTATGTTCACGATATACCAAGTCGTCTCTCTCTGATGCAGGTTCAGGACACAGCCAACCCTATGTTAATAGAAAGGTTTGTGCATTTATTGGTTGCTGTTAACTTAGTGTGTAAAGAGAGGAACTGTTTTATGGAATCAAACTAAGTAACTGAAGCGCTGTTTCCAGTAGATCTTGGTTACTTGTAAAATCCATCTGTAGAGACAGTTTCCAAAATATCCAGAGAACTAAAACAGTTAATCAAAAAATACAAGCATTACCAGACTTTCTGAAGAGACCTTTCTGCAACAGTCTGCATTCTTATCTCCTTTTGAAGTATCCTGTTCTATTGGTCGAGACATCAGAATAGGTCTATCTGTCCAACAGGCTCAGGAGACAGTTATCAATTGGTCACACAGAAATAATATCCACCCCTACACAAACTAGATCCCAAATACTACATCTGTACTGTAACCAAACATAATGCAATTTGAGATCCTTACACCCACCTCGGAAAAATTCCAAACTGTAATGACAGCCCATGAATTCTTAACTCTTTCATGCTCACAACCATCACATGTTCTCCATGACTCTACAAAGTATTATCATGTATTTGTAGGCTTTTCTGAAAGCATTAACAGCAACAATCACCCAAACCAGGCAGAGTTGTGGCAAAATCCACTATAATTAAGCCGTCTATATGCAGTAAAATCTTTGCATTCATAGAAGGTTAACAAAATGTGCAGGGAACTGCACATTGTACAAGAACATTCTCCAGGAACTGCCATTCTGTGCATCTTCCAGCTGAAGATTTAACTGCAATAAAATGTTTCAAACACAAACATCCATGATACTGCTTCAGTGGATTTGTTTTATTTGTAGACAATTAGAGATGGAATAAGAAGGCACTTACCAACAGCAAAAGGACTGCTACTATCTACTTAAAATTCTTACCACTTAAAGAGACATTTTACTAAAAGTTAGTTTTACCTTAACTTGTAAACTAGCTGATGCAACTCTCCTCTCTAGATCTTCCACCTGCTGAAGAATAGCAAGATCCATTTCCATTGCTTGTTCTTCTACCGACCAGTTTTCCACAACATCTCGAGTTACCTGGTTATCTTCATTTTCATTGATATCAATAATTGCAACTGTATTTGAGAATCACATTTTTATTATTTTAGTAAGTATTATAACTTCTCTGAGTAAATTCAAGCTGATTTACCTGTCACTCCAGTCAAATATTGAAGAACTGGTGTGTAAAAGTATACTACTCTTAAGATACCCAAATATGGACCACAAATTCTGTAGGTTTTCAAACTTGCAATTTAAAGGCAAGAAGGGGAAGGAGAGGCTGAGCTAGAGTGTTACAGAGATGGAAAGAGCTTAAAAAGGTTACCAACACTTACGCCCCTAGAGCAATTTATATTAAACAGCATTTCTCCAATCCTGTAACTTTTCAGAACAAGGCTGGTGAAAAGGCAACTACACACAATGAGACCTTTATCTTTTTTCTCCAGCTGCTAGTCTAACTCTGTATATCTAAACACATCTCACAGAGCTCTATGCCAGTTGTCTTATGCCCCAACACCATGCGCAACATAAATATCATCTACATACCGTCCTTATTTTTGATGCAGGCCAGAGTGATATAATCCATGTGTTTCTGTATTTGCTTTTGTAAGGCCTTTTCTCTTATTCCCCTGAGATGCAGCACTTTAAGCAAAGATTTTAGGTCCTCTGGATCAGTAATCCTCCACCACCCATACTGCATTTCTAAATCAAGACAAGCATACAAACACTTTGCAGACATTTTTAATGTGATTACACACAATCAGATTACAGAAATCATCTAGCCAAATTCAAATGGGCAAATTATAAAAACGAAAAACCAACAACCAACCAACAAAAAAAAACCAACAAAAAACCCAAAGCAACTGTGCCATCATAGCAGCATTGCAGAAATTATCCTTCACATAGTTCCATCTTATTGTTGTATTATACTTACCTTCTGGTATAGGTTTTGGGTTAGGATAATCTACTGGTTTGGCTACTTCAACCGCTGCAGAAGGGGCAGAAGCTATTTTTTCAGTCTGTAGTGCTGGTGATTCACTTTTACTTGCAGGAACACTAGATGCCAAGAATGAGTTACCATTCACCTCTGATAATCCCAACCCTGATCCAAGAGCAGGTAAAGGAGATGAAAATGGAACATTTGAAGTAAGAACTCCTGTAGGCCATCCACAAAACTGAAGTCCCATTATAGGTAGTCCAGCCTTCATCTGCTACACAGAATATATTGTTAACACAATCATAACTAACATCATTATTACCAAGAAACCTGAATTATGATTAGGATGCTATTTGTCAAACAATAACCAAAACATAAAGGAGGTCTTTACTCAGTACTTTGAATAGCTTACGAAAAACTAATGTCACACTACCATGTAATACTCCTTACTAGGGCCCTGTTAATGCTTAAAAAAATAATAGCTTTTGAAGGGAGGGTGTGCTGTGTCACATTTCTGAAAACTAGTTTTCATTTATTTATTTGCTTTTCATTTAATACCAGTGGCCAATCTCCTAAAAAGCCAAATTAAATTACTGAAATACACATACAAAATACCACACATTGGCTTACCTAATTTTAACTATCTCATTTTTATCAAAAAACTTCTAGTATTATAAAACATCTTTGACGTGGAATTAGTTACTAACATTTAGAAAGAGAAAAGAAGGAGAAATTAAGATACAATGATAGCACTTCTACAAAACAATTTGTCTAAACAGAAATTCTGCCCGAATAAGCACCGCAAATTCAGACTATTCAAAAATTCATTTATTTACCTGCAGTGGTGACAATGCAAAAGGACTTAATCCCATCGGACTCTGCGTAGAGGTTGAGCCCAGAAGAGGTGATGGAACAGGTGAAGGTGACTTTGATGGTGGATGTGACTGAGGAGTAAGTGAAGTTGTAGTAGCTGGTGTATCTATATGGGTAACCGACATGTCATCACAGGGTATTCTTGGTAAAAGGCTGAACCACTGTCTGCTCTTTTCAGTAAGAGTCTTTAACAACTGATCATTTGGAATTAGTGGAGAACTATAAAACTTTCCTGTCCCACTTGCAATAGGACTGAAAAGATTATTAGAATCAGACTTCTCAATGGTGCTTTGTGATACAGCGGGCTGAAGACTGCTGAGAGAGTTTTTTGAGTTACTCGGATAAGATAATGTGCAGCCATTTGCTGCACTGCCATTAGGTTTTGGGGACATAATGTCCGATTCAGGTGGCATTTTTGCTACCTCTAACAGTTTGCTTAGTTTTGAAAACGACCCAGGCTTTTGTAAAAACAAATTAGTGTTGTCCTTTTCTTTCAGATCATCCTTTTGCTCACAGTGAGTTGTATTTAAACAGTGTAATTTTTCTTCTGTCTCAAAGTCTTCTTCTTTGATATGCATGCTTTCTACCTTTTTTAACTTCTCTTTTTCTTTTGCAATTTCTTCTAGGCCTAAAAATGTACAAGAAACATAGATGAAATACAACAGACCAACTCATTTAGACCATTGTTGTTATCACAGTTAAATAAAAATTACTTCATTTTTGGCTCAACAAATGCTAGATCACAATGTCTTTTTTCTTCTCACTTTACAGAACACTTTGCAGAAGGAAACAAGCTTCAAGGCACACACAGATTTAAACCTGCTAAACACCTGGAGGAAAAATAACCTCAAGATAGTTAACATAGCTATAGTATTCTCCCTTCCGATGGATATATGTCTGAAGCAGTTTGCCAGTGTGAAGTCTTCAAAAGGGAAAAATTTTTGGCAGCTTTCTTTTTGCAAGACTCTCCATGCTTTATCAAAAAACTCCTCTGTTTATATCAAGAGGGTACAATGTTCATAGCCTTAAAGCTTATTTTTGCAAAAGACCATTTCATTAAACTCACTGTCAACTATGAAAAGGAGGACCAAAATTCTGGTTGTGAAACCAAATACTGTCCAAATACTGAAACATTAAATAACTTAACAACTTTGAAGAAAAATAAACCACAACTTTGACTGTGAAACAACATCAACATTCTTGAAAATTTAAAACTCTTTCAGCAGCCACCGAACATGACAGCTGGGGCTCTACATACAGCTAAGCAGACAGATGCAATCAGACGGTGTAACATCTAAGCAATTTAAAGTACCACAAGCAGAAGCTGATTGCAAAAGTCAGTTTCTTCAAACATGAGAGGTGCAAAAGATCTCTCTTTTACGAAAAGGAAAAACATTCTTCTGTCTTCTTAGCTCTCCTAGTCTTTCTTAACCATTTCTCTTCTACCCTTATACTGGTGTGTCAGCTTAGACTAAAAGTCTTAAAAAGTGATGGATGGAAAAAATGGGATGGAAAAGTGACAGGAAAAGGGGGAGGAGGTAGAAAATCCAGCATTCCTAATTCTTAAATTATTTTCATCAGATATTGCAATTGCAAATAAACAAAGGTCCTGCTTATGGTTTATGGCCAGAACATCCACAACAGTTTACTTGCTCCTCCTGGAAAATCGTAATTTCTACAAAGATAATTCATTAAAGAAAATAAAAGAATATCCCCTCCCATTAAAACTTCAAAATGTGTTCACAGTTACGGCGTATGTCAAGACATAAATGATCTGAGTACCAGCATAAGAACAAAAATGACTGCATGAAGAGGGAAGAAGCATTTTTTAAATAGACATATCATTTAACAGTTTGTCTCGCATCTCCAATGTTTAGATAAAGGAATTGGGAGTGAATAAACTGTAGAATTTACTGAAACAGTGCAACCTAAGAGCTATGGAGAAGAAGGAGTAGTTCAGAACTTAAGAACATGTCCATTTTGCTACTCAGGGAGATTAAACTTTCATTAAGACAATATATGGGTTTGCCATACAGTTCTTGGCTAAGATTTTTGTGTGGTTTTTTGTTTGGTTTTACTATCTTAAGACAGGTAGGTGTATTTCAATGATTTTCTGTGTGTACAGTTTCGGAAGCATCTGAGGATTCATCTGGTTAAAATATAATAAAATATAATAAAATATAGTGAACAAAAAGAATGCAAACAGTACAGCATACGACAGTTTACCTTCTGTATCCAGCTACTCATGTGAAAAACACAGGGTAAATAATGCAGAACAGGACACACAGGAAAAATTATTTTTTATGCCACCCATTTTAGAAGAACAACTTGAAGATCAAGATTAGATTTAGGAAAAGTTGTACGGTTTATTTTGGAGGCCAAAACAGGGCTCAGATTTCATACCATGCTGTAATGTTACAGTTATTTTATTAAATAGCTCACTATAATAATGCAATTTTCATGAGATCATGCAATTCTGATGTGTAGCAGAGATTTTTTTTTTGTTAGTTGGGGCGGGGGGGAATTGTGAAAGTAATGGGGTTTTGCTTCATCTGTATCAGAATTAGAAAGAATTTTTCTGTGACTAAAATGAAGGCTTATGTTTAAGAATTCTAATATCCACAAAAAGGTCAGATTAATATGTATTTTCTGCCTCTATCCAATTTAAAGTGTGTGAAAAATTCAATCACAGTTAGCATATAAGTGTCATAGACACAAAATTAAATTTTAATTTTAGCAAAAATAACTTCAGCATTTGCTGGATTAGAAGAAAGATCAGTTGGTAAAATACAGAGACTAAATCATATTGTTGATTAGAAAACATAGTACTTCACTGTGTGAAAGTAATTTTCATATTTTTGCAGACATATCAAATCTTCAAGAACAGAATAGTCTCTGTATTTGCACAAAATATAACAACTGAGGATGAAAAGAATTTTTTTTTGCATTCAGAGATGATCCTAGCTTTCATATGCAGAGATGCAGAGTTCACTGCCATTGGGAAATGTGAAATAGCTCAGAAACAGCCAAAAAATATCCCATGTAGTTAAATATGAAAAAGTATAACATATAGAACTATAACAACTGAAAACTTCCAAAATATTAATCCTTATTTTGAAAGATATTAACTCATATTTCATAATCAGAGAGAGAGTATCAGAGAGCGTCATCTGAACAGAGAGGTCTACTGACAGTAGCCTGTTTAGCCTGTCGTTTAAAGCCTAAAGATCTTGCTGCACAAAATTACAGCCTACAGAGATGGGCAGTATGTCTTGGCATAGTATGCCTTGGTGTGACATTATTCCTTTATGTTTCTTACCTTCACCACTTTCCATGCCTTCTACAAAAATACCACCACATTGGGGCAGAATCCAGTATCGGCGTCTGTAACGATCTTGACCAAACATCATTGAACGCAAACAGTGCGAAGCTTCAAACAACTTCTTTCTGTACTGGCTTTGTTGCTGTTTTAGAAAAGGAAAGCATTATAATCCAACAGGGGAAAAAAATTCATTATAACAGAAAACATCTCCTGGCTGCCAGACTGAACAAAAAAGTTCAAGGGTCACATGAGGAGGCTCTCTTAGAGACTTTGTGTGTGTGTTGTATGGTATTCTACTCACAATTGCCAACTTGATGATTTTACTTACAGAGTCCCCTTTAAAAAAATCAATTCAATCACTTCCTGGTTCAGCTTAAGTTTATCAATCTTCCTTTAAAAACACATTTTGCAATGGCAGGTCCTGTCTTTTTAATACTGACTCTCAGAGAACAACAGGATCAAAGATTTCATTGCACAAGAACAGCTAAAATCCTATCAGTTATACAAAATGGTAAACAGAGCACTGAAGATAGCTGATACTGTAGCTCCTGATGGGAAACTAATGAGATATTTTAACTGGCTCATAAAAGAATGAGAACAACAATGTCTGAAAATAAATTCTGTATTCAAACACAAACAGTTCTCTGAGGGAGGCCAACAAGAATTTCTGTTTGTCTATTCACTTCTTGCTCCACTAAATTGACACTGCCGGAAGTCAGGTGTAATTCTGGACTGCTAATTTATTGCAATTTGGAACATCACAGAAACCAAGAGACAAAGTCCTAAATGACAATTTTTCCAATACAAAGAATAAAAACATGGGCCATGAGTACCCCTATCTACAGTATTCCATCTTTCTCATTTACTTTTCTCTTCCCATTCCATTGTGTGTTCTTTCAAAATCTGAAGCAAAGACAGCTCTTTGTATTGGCTTGGAACGCAGTTGCAGGAATTAGCCAAGCATAGGAGGGAATGAAAACTACAATCATTTGTATAATGGAAAAGTCATTGCTTCTCATAAACAAAATTTATCGTCACTTTCCAAGATCAACAAACAGAAGTATATCAATTAGGTCTGGATAAAAATGGTATAATTCTTTATTCTGAGATGTGCAAATATATTATCAACAGCTTTCTAACTGTCTATGGAGTCATATCCATTTAGTGCCACTAGACTAAACTCACAATTCAGGTGTCATGAACAGCAGAATCATTCATATTTTCATGAAACAAAAGCCGATTCTTATTTCAATTTATATTGAGTTGAAGCGCTGAAAATGATGGCTAACATTCAACATCCAGTGATCAAATCTATAGTATAAGAAAGACAAATGACCTCTCACCTTTGTCAGTTTTTCAATCTGCTTCTCCAGTTCTTCAACACTTGCTGTCTGGTCCCCATCATCCTATTATCATCAAATATACTGTCATGCCAAATTCATTTCAGGATAAAGATCATACTACCATGTTTTACTAATATTACAGTAAAAAGATATAACAGAAAATGAGAGGTAAATTCTAAGGGTGAGAAAGTTCAAATCCTGTGTTTGTTCAATATATCTGACTAGGAACAACGTAACTGGAAAAAGATGTATCTTGAGTCTTTCCAAACCATCCCAGATGCATATGAAGGAGAAAGCTCATGGTCAAATGATCACTGAAAACATTCTTTTACTGGAAGAAATAATTCAGTTTGTGCATGAATGCTTAAGACTATAGAATTTAATATTAGTTTCTATAAGGCTTTTTGGATATTCAAATTCATTTCTAAGTGTTTTTCATACATGAAATAATGGAATCTGTCAAAATCTGTTATATCAGAAAATTAATCTCTCTACAGGAGTTACAGGGCTTTTGGCTACGAAATGCCCAGTGCACCAAAATAGGAGATGGTGCTAAAGGGAAAAAGATTAAGGGAGAGATGTGAGATTAGATACCTAAATATTACTTATTTTTAATTCTGAAGTATTAATTTGTAAGAACTTCGTGCTGTGCCTCTAAGGTATTATCTTAAATTCATACACATTATAGTGCTTGAAATAAATCCAAAATAATGGCACAAAGGGCTGTTCCTACCCCAGAAACTCTCTGGGTTTCTAATGAAGAGTGTTTGCAAAGGTTTGAGTTCACATGTTGTACACATGCATTGTTCAAGCAGCCATATCCACAGCACCCATAAAACCTTACTTTGAATTTTGACAGTCTGGCATAAATGGATCATTTTCTGCCAAATAGTGCAACACTCAGTATGCTAAAATGTAGTATTTGGTATTGCTTGTCTCTTTTTATCAAGTTTCTTTCAGTAGAGAATTCTAGAGTTCTACAGTGACGCTTACAGGCCTGTGGCACTTCTATTAAAAAAATCTTTGGACTACTGTAGATACAATTCAGCTCAACAAGCTAAAAATGTTTCAGTGATCCTTCCTGTATCTTATCTGATACTGACTAGTAAAATTTATCATCTTGTGATCAAATACAGTCAAGGCAGTGACTACCCTAGAAAAGCTGTGAAAAAAACACATCGGAAGTTCACAGGCAAGCTTTATAATAGATAATGTTAAATATAACTTTACACTTCTTTATTATTTTGTTAACTAATAAATGACCTTTATTCTCCTCTAAGAGAAAACTACAGTTATGCTCATTTGCTAACAAAGCTGCAGTTCTCTGGATCTGGTACAATCTTTCAGAATTTCAGAGAAATTAAGACTAAGTCAAAACAAGTAAGCATGAAAAAAACCAAAACAACCCAACCAAAGCCAAACCCAAACCCAAACTAAACCAAAACAAAAACCCAACCAAAAAAAAACAACAATCCATCAATCCACACTATGGTAACTATCATAAAAAAGAAAAAAAAATACTCTGGAACATAAACTTATTCCAAAATTTTAAAAAGTTGGAGATAAGTTATTCTTCCTTCCTTTTTATTGTGAGATTTTGGGGAAGCAATGCCTTATTGCAGGGAAACAGAATGAAAACAAGTTTTAACTTACTAGTTAATTAAGTTTCACTACACTTAAAATCCCTCACCTCATCCTCACAAACTTCTGCCTTCTTTCCTTTTTTATCTTCTTTGTCGTCTTCATCCTCATCATCCTCATCTGCCTGATCATCACTGTCGTCATCATCATCATCATCGTAATCACTGTCCCCTCCCTTTCGTCTGCGTTTGCGGCCTGGCGTTGGTGTTTCCAAAGAGTGCTGTTCCTCTCCTATGTCACCACCTCCTGTAGCATCTCTTTTGCCAGTTTTCTTTGCATGAATGATTCTAAGCCTTGAAACACATGACAAGGGGTGAAATTATAGAGTATGTCTGTAGCATAAACATACCTTTCTTCCTACATGACTGAGAGTAAATCATACATTTTAGATTCAAATTAGCTCTTCTGTTCTAATATGACATTGTATTTTCTCAATATTTATTGCCATTAGCCAACAAGAAAAATTCAGGTTACAAAACCCCTTAAGCCTCTTACTCAGTTTTGAATAGAATTTCTGTTTCTCCCAGGCAAATTTCATTGCCTGACTGTTTAGAAGAAATTACACACATGAGGGATTCTGAAAAGTCAGGAAAGAGAATAAGAAGAAAGAACCATTTGAACTTATGTTTTCTGCCTTTAAGAATATGATCAGAAAATACGGGGGACGGGGCGGGGTTGGGGGGAGAAGGTAGCAAAAATCCTCACTTGGAAGTATGAAATTACTTACATTTGCATGGCAACAGCAAGGTTGGTTTAAAATACTTTTTTTTTTTTTCATTTCAGACTTTTATGCATTTTTAATTTATTATGTATTATTTGAATTTAGTCCTTTGACTGTTCTTTTCATTCTACGACATACTTTCTTTTCTGAGAAATCTTAGCTACCTAAACTACTAGGAGATTACTCAATCAAATGCTCATTTTTCCTTTTATGAAAGAAAAGGGAAACTTACATACCAGTAATTATGGTTGTAGTAGACCTTCTTCTTCTATAAAACCCCTATAAGACAAGATTCCACACAGCAAAAATTACAGTTCCACCTATCAGGGAGCTAGCAGGCAAACATGCTGAATCACAGGAGGTGTAAACAGCCAGGCCTAACCAGTCACTTACAGTGCAGACCAAAAACGCAACTGACTTAGAAGAGATTCATAAACATGTGTAGAAAAGAAAAAGACTTTTGTAAGAGATGACTGGAAGAAGGTAGGATGGGAAAAGTAGAACGGTAACGACAAACACAATTACCAGTATGTAATTTTTCCTTGTCGTACTTCTCTCTCTTCCCATCCTACAAAACAATATTCCATACAGCAAGTGGCTACAAGTATGATGACTGTTGTAGAAGTACTGGCTTGCGGGCATAATGACAGACAGATCAGCCTTCTAAAATGCTGATAAACAAAACCAGCACTCAACAGCACAGATTTAGATGAAGGCGTCACTGCTCAACTGGTAGCAGCACTTTCTAAAAAGACTGTTAGCAAGAAATCATCAAGGGGACTTCTGTTTGCATGAAAACAGTTGGGCTTTGGGTTTTTTTGTGTGTGGTGGTTTGTTTTGGTTTGGGGAGGGGGTGTTGGGTTTGGGGGGGTTTTGGGGGGATTCTGGTTTGTTTTGATTTTTAATGTAGCGGTTAATCCACTGGAGAATTTAGAAAGTTTTACACTTGTATTTTCCTATATAAATGGATTTCTCAAGCCTCCCAGTGAATTTGGAAGTGGGTAACATTTTCAAGTCTGATGCAAAAAGCCTTAGCATCACTAAGTATAAACACTATTCAGCTTTCCCCCAAGTTAGGTTTTTTAGGAAAAAAATTTCCTTTTTATGAGGATAACTTCAAATCATCAAATTCTCTTCATCTGGACTAGAAATTCCTGCCTATACACAGGAATTAACTACAAAACAAAGCCACTAGTCAATGACTGGATTGACCGCTGTGTGACTGGACAATTTTAGACACAAATTAGACTACGATAATCTTCAATGCAATTCAATAATAAAGCTGGTGGGTTGAAGCTCAACAACCAGCAAACACCTCTTTCATATACCTAAAAGAAATGAGAAGCAGCAAAAAAGTGTACTTTTGCTGAAAGCAAAAATAGAGATACAATGCTGTCAAGCAAAGGAAGCTTGCGTGACAATACCAATTATAAGGATGGAAATGAATCAAAGATGCTCTCTTTTAATACCACCATAAGCACAAGGCAGCAGCAGTCTGTATCCAAAGTACCACAGAGGCAGAAACCAATGAGCTTGCAATTTAAAAAATGTTCAAGTATTTCAAGAGGTAGCATCATTTTCCTGGTGCTACCTAGACATATGGCTCACTGAGAGAAGAAAACTTTCACTCAGAAAACTGTTTCATTTTTCTCACTTTCAGGTATATACCAAAATGACATCTGCCACTGTTGAGAGAATTATAAAGTCTGTTGGCCTATAAAAAGAGTAGGTGGTCCATTAGATAATCAGATGTGTGACATAAGCCTGCTCTAATCTAATCTGTAATGTTTACTAGATCTTAGAAGGAAAATTCACCTTCTGACTTAGTTTTCATGCTTTCCTCATAATTTTTGCACATAAATATTAACTAGCAGCAAGGGAAAGAAATTCTGAACATCATACTTTTAACATACTTCAGCTTGGGTCTCAAAAAATTAAAGCTTCCCAACTCAGCATTGCCACCTCCTACCCAAACTTGGGGTGTAATTTCTCCCCTCATGTAACATTGCTTTTGATATACCATCATCATTTACAGTTGAGATGGCCTCATTAGAAAGAAATTAACTTACAAAGAGTATGCCATAATACTGGCATGTTAAAAAGAACGTTGTAATGAAAAGCCTTTTTCTGCAGTATTTCAAGTCTTGTAAAGAAACAGGTATTACCTAATCCTTCAAATAGCTGTATTTAATTTTTATTCCCTTTCATAATGATCAAGCTTCAAAAGAAATGCCAAGGAGAAGACATGTAATGGAAAAGGAGATGCTGAGATTATGATTATCTTGTTACAAAACAGCTGAATCGTCTCAGGTGAAACAGTCTTCTGACTATAGTTGTAATACAAAAAGCACAAACAAAGATTAACTGATTGTATGAGACAGGCATCTTTACAAAAATGGTGATTTGGATCCAGATTCACATCTAAAGGTGATGGACAAAGAATCATATGCAACCTCTCATTGACCATCAGCCCAGCAGAAACAGTCCAGGCAGCTCAGAACCCAGTTGCCAACCACATATATTATACTTATCAAGGAATTTTGTTCAATATTCTTAAGAGGGGAAAAAAAAAAGCATTCCTATAGGCTTTTATACAATGATTCCTTCTTCCAACCTGGGATTTTAATGTTGCTTTTTTGTACCTACAGTCATAGGTTTTCATATTATTTTCTCTGCCCCCCTCTGCCCAACCCCGATATCCAGTTGAGGAGCTAATCTCATAAAGTGACAACCTAGGCACAAAAAAATCAATTAGTGAAAACATCTGATACAGGTAGAATCTTTTCTCATCCCACTTCGATATACCTCAAGACAGTCTGGACATAGTAGCATGATTTACCACAACAAACACCAGCAAACCAGGCTGAGAGGAAATAAACCCATTCCTCAGCATCTGTTAATTCTAACACTATACACTTCCCATGCACAATGGCCTTGTGTTGAGGGTCATGTAAAGGTCTGTATGCATATGAAAAGAGTACATATCTGTTGTTCACATGGCAAGCAGTTAAGAAACCACATATTCCTACGCAAAACTGTTTGGGATTGGGATGCTTAAAACTAGACAGAGTTTTGAAATGGATGGGGAAGATAACATGCATAAGAATGAAGTCTGGAAGCAGGAAAAAAAGACCAAACAGAAGACTGAAACGGACCGAGTTCTTTTCAGAGAAGCCCCAGAACGTCATAAACTGTAAGTTTATGAAAAACACCAACTGACATAATAAAGAAAACATTGTTTAAAATTGATCAAAGAAGGTGCTTCTAAAAAGCTTCTTAAGAGTTCATCAGAAAAACAGTGGAAAATCCAAAGATTTTGAACCAAAGATGAGAGAGATGAATCAAGTCCAGTGAATTCAAAGAAGCGGAAGAACAATGTTTCTGAGCACTCCTGTGATACTTACGCTTGAAAACAGGGACAGCACTACTGGAACCTGAAATTCACACGTGAGGGGAAAACACAAGAAACAGAGAAATGACTGCAGAAAGGAAGAGGGGCTTTTGACTTCACGGTATTATGCCCACTATTTGAAAGGGAAGAAAAGAGATAATGAGGAAAAGGGAGGATCCTATATCTACAAGTACTTACAGTTTGATGGAGGGAGACAAAGACTAAGCAGTCCCTAGGGAGACAGGGACAGGTAAGGGTCCCAATCCACTAATGGATAGTTGGCTACATCAGAACTTCAGGAACACTTTTCCAACTATATTCCATAGAGGGGATACAGATGAAGACAGGAGAAAGGTATTTGGATTGTCCTAAAAGCCAAAATATATTAACCCTGAGCAGACTGTGATCTGCAATATTACTAGATAATTTTTTTTATTGCTCTAATTTTTTCCTCTACCTCCCTCTCGTCCTTCTTCTTTACTTCTTTTCCTTCTTCCTTCTGAGATACATTAAAGGGAAAAAAGGGAGACATAAGATTAGAAACACAAGTACCTAAAGCAAGGACTAAGAAAGGATTCACCGCTCCTAGTAAGAGGTAAAGATGACTAAGGAAAAAAAAAAAAAAAAAGAAAGCGGAGTCTGGCTATGTATTTTTACCCCCTGTGATTCATGAAATTTATGCCTTCTAGCTTCCTGGTAGCTGGAGCCGTTATGCTTGCTGTATGGAATTTTGTCTTGTAGGATGGGAAAATAGCGGATATGAAACTGACAACTCTTTAAAAGTTCCAATTTTACCTTAAATAAAAATACAAAAATTATCTCAACGTTTGCATTCTACATATGACCCCTAGCTATGGGGAACAATGCAACATTGACAGCTGGGTAACACTAAGGTAATACAATACAAATTAGCAAAACTCGATTGGTAATTGTTGTATGAAGATCATGTCTTCTTAAAATGCCTTTCAGAATGAACAATGGTAATTATGCTAGGTCCAAACAAACTTTGATAATGTCAATAGCAATTTGACAGCTCCTGTAATAGTACAATAAAAAAAATTTCTATTTTCTGCCAAAAAATACAAAATGGACTTGACTTTGCTTCAATTTTGAGGGACACTAACCCTCTGAATCTCATGCATCCTTAGTAGATTGTAAAAGACTGGTGCTGCACCATTCTAGATCCACATCCATCTTAATTAAGCAGTTCAGTGACTAACTTCTTGGTAAACCTGTAATTGCATCAGCTAATTTTGTCCTTACAACCAATTGCCTATATAGAAGCACACCTGAGCAAATGCAAAAAAGTAATATATTGTAATATTTAAGGAAACAAAACTTACTTCCGAAGTTTGCCTTCAACCATCCATTTATCTCTCCTTAAGTTTGACATATAATCAATGTTTTTATCAATTTCACTGTCAAAGACAAAATAATCCATTAACTGTGAACTTACATATCTTCGTCTGACAGACATTTACATACAGATACTTTGTGTCAAAGAACTATCTTGAAGAAATGCTTAAAATTCAAAATAAAAAATTTTAAAGCTAGAAAATTCCAATACTAGGAATGCTGATGTAGTGTACTAGTGTACCTATGTGAGGCAGTTTTTATTTACAGTATCACATAAACTTTCTTTCCATAAGAAGCATGTCATTCAAAGAATTTGACATTTCTTTCCATAGCTCTAATTCAGTGTCAAGCCTCCAGATGTATTCGCCACAAAGCATCTAGCCCTGCACTGAAAACAAAGTTATCACTGGTATATCTATGGTATTCTAACTAGGATACATGTGATCTACAAACGTTCGCTTTCCACTGCAGAAATTGCAGAACCAAAAAAGTGCTTCAGTACAGTGGCCATCTGCGAGCCCACTTCTGAGACATCCCAGCCTCAACAATTTAGCAGGTTTAGTTGTTTCTTCAATGAAAATACAGAAACTCAAGTTCTGAATGAGCATTTCAATAAATCTGACTTAACAGTTGGTTATCTGCAATAAGATAAAAGTTTCTTAGTATGATGAATTTGATTAATACACATGAACTCTCTTGCACAGTACATGCATAGCACTTGCACTCTCCAGTTGTGCTATTTTTCAACTTTGGAATACATGAAGCATCTCTTTCATTCTTGCCTTACACAACCCTGATTCATTTTTGCAGTACAGTATACCACAAGCAAGAGAATTCACTAGGAAAGAAAACAGCACTCAATTAGGAGATAAAAGACTTTACCACAGTAAGTATGCGGAGGTATACATACCCCAAAGACTGGCATTTCCTAAGTTTTTATTGCACGTTGTTGGGGTTTAGAATGTTGTTTAGCATAGGTGTTTTTTTAACAATGAAATGCTATACATTACTGATCACAAATGAAGCACACATATTCTTGAACTACCACCATGATAAATCAGGCTTGCCATCTCAGCTTACGACCCTAGTTAAAGTATTTGGACAAAAGAGGTCTTAAAACACAAAAGGGAAAAAAGGGTAAACAGAGTACTGCAGAAGCCTTATACAACTCTTCTGAACTATTCCCTAGAATACCTAGTAAATTTCTTTGTAAGTCAACCTCAACATTTACTCCAAAAACAGCTGGAGAAATTTTGGCGCAAGCTTTGAAAACAAACTTACAGACCAAACATGGAAAAGTTCTATTCTTCCATTATATCAGAAGTACATAAAGTTAAGAAGCTGTAACATAGCAAATTTCACCTTTCATTATAAGAACATCAAGAATTTTCCCGTAACAGAACATAGCATATACAGTATTTTTGAACTATAACATTTTTATAATTTTATTTTTACAGACCTGTTTGGGAAATAAATCTCTTACCTTACTACACTTTTGCTGCACGCTAACTCATTGACAAGAAAAGCAAGTACTGATGCTTTCTGAGCTGGAGTATGTGCCTGAAAAGCTTTTGTCTTCAAGCTCTCTGTCAGCTCAGTTTGCCCACAGTGAGCTTCCATGAATATCTGCAGAATCTCAGACACATTATCTCGATTGATGCCAACATTCAGCAAGTGCTCCCCAAGAATAGTTTTAGCCTAAAATGAATAAAGACGTTTCAAACACTCACATTTAAAATAATTCTTTTCCTCTGCAGGTTATATTATTGTTTATAAAACAGTGGGGTGGGTTTGTTAGCATTTTTACATAAGGACTTTAATCAGGATTTTTCTTCAAATGTAAATTATTCAAATGTAAATCTTGAATACAGTAATAAATTAGACTGTCTTCACCTCTAAGTTTTTAAGAATAGAGGTAATTTAATATTAATGAAATAGGTTAAAAGAAAAAAGGCATAGTCCAACTGGGACTTGATGAATACTGTTCATATAATCATGCCAAGTAGAGCTCTAAAGTAGAAAGGAACTATGTTGGTTTGAAAGAGAAGGATAATAAGAAAGACAATCATGAACGAATTGGAGTTTTGATGAAGTAAAGTAGACAGCAGACTTTGGAGAAAGAAATGGCAAGATTCACTGACAGTAATAACATAAAGGTAAGAATGAAAGAGGGGGGAAAAAAAAAAAAGGGAATTAAAAGATGTGGCAACAGATGTGATAGTGCCCTACAAGGGGTCCAAATAAAAATGGGGGAAGGTAGAGAAAATGCCCAGAAATATATCACTTCTGGAAAATGGGAAGGTTGATAGGGTACAGAAAGTGTTTGAGAAACATTAGAACAGTGACACCAAAGAGAAGCATTAGGAAAGAGAATGGAAATCCAAATCAGAGAGGTGTTAAAGACGCATTATGAAGAATGCACTCATAAATATGCAGGGTTTACTATGGAATTTTTTCCCCCCCTTTTTTTTTTTACCTTGTATCCTGTAACAAGTCCTGGATCACAAACAGCTGCAGAGACAAGCTTGACAAGCAAGTCTTGTACTTCTCCCATGCTGTCCCCTATGTTTAGCAAACCTTCTTGAAGAACACTCAGGGAAGGGACATCCGCATTCACATCAAAGCCAAGAACTTTACCGAAGTTACGCAGGAACTGCACTACCATGAGACAATCTGAAAATGTGCTTCCATCGAGAATAAGGCCTGGGATGCGAGGCAACTCTGGCAAAGGCTGAAAAGTAAAGAAAAACAATGAAAGATTCAGTAGTATATTCAAAAGAAAACTTCTTTGATACCAGATGCTACTGCAAATTGGCTCCTTCCATATGACCTACACAACTCTAGAAGGTAAAGGCTGTGGAGAAGCTACCCCCCACATCCCATCCAGTACATTTAATATAAAGCTGAAGCACGTTTACCTTTTCACATATTATAGGAAGCCAGACATTAATCAATACTTAGTTTTTTGGTCAAGAGATGCTCTCACGGCTCTATTCCGAGCCACAATATTACAAAAAGTGGTGTAAAAATATTTGGGGGACACAGAGATGGGAATTCTCTGGAACAGAGGGTGCTTGAACCTAAGGTATGTCAAGTCCTGAAAGACAAGAACTAAGAGCACAGAAGACTGTGAGAATAATTTTTTTGAGTAACAGCTTAGAATAGTTGCACATATGAGAAAACCTCCATCTAAGGCCTGTGCACAGAGACATGATACATATTCCTGCT